ATTTATTATCATACAAATGTCATGATTTTATAAAATAAAAATAAAATGTGTCAGACAGCCCGTACAATTTATCCTGAGATTATATGTTTATTCAGATTTTTTAAAGAACAGTTGACAAGTACTGGCTTATTGAATTCATTTGTTTATTTGTAATGTTGTTATTAAAATTATATTATACATTTAGTTTTGTATCTAAAAACGTCGGTATAATTTAGTTTGAATAGATTTAACCGTGATCTAGATTTCCGGGTGTTAGATTTTATTTGTGTGTGTCATTCTAGAATAATATATCAACCCCACATTTCACACAGAGGCAATACTATCCAATTCTTAAAGACTAACTTTACACATCGCAAACATCAGCATTACACACCCCAAATCGTGACATGAAATCTACACGCAGCAAACCATAAAACCTTATCCTTATACAACAAACCCTCACACTAACCGTACACCACAAACTCACACATAAACCCTAAACACAACAAACCTTCACACTAACCCTACACACCACAAACCCACACACTTACCCTAAACACCAAAAACCAACACATTAGACCTACACACCACAAACCCACACACTTACCCTAAACACCACAAACCCTCACACTAACCCTACACTCGACAAACTCTTACAATAACACCCAAACACCACAAAGCCACACACTAACCCTACACAACACAACATTTGTTTTCCCTAACGTGAGTCAGGTACCCATCAGAGCTGGGTGGACTCAGGGACGTTCTACTGACTAGGACACGGATTAGGATTCGCGACTGACGTGATAGCAGCCACGCCGTCCCCTACTTTTGTAAGTACTACAATCGTAATAATACAAAGTGTTAAGTACATGTTTTATTTTAATCTTAGTTATACTTTAACCCTTAAAAAAATCTCAAGATTTAACAATTTTTTATGCTATTTTTCTCTTTACGTTCTTTGGTAATTAGTAACCTGGGTTATTTTTATGAATCTGGTAGATCTGTGCGGGTATATACTTGTCATGTTGAACATTAGTATCTTCATGTCCAAATCTGCCATCTCCATTGTCTCATACTCATCTACTGTTACATACGCCCGATAACTCGTGCTGTTTTCACACTTTGTTTATACCGGGTTACGTACCTTGATGGAAAAAAAATCTTTGCTGGTCATGTGACTGGATCACGATGTTGTTCTATATTTAGGTCAATCATTTCTGTGTCGAATAGGCAGGGGTGGTCTGGTTGTGTCTAAAGGGCCCGGGAAATTTCAAAAAGCCCCCCCCCCCCCCCCCAAAAAAATAATTAATAAATAATAATTAAAAAGTCCCATAATTGTGCAATTTTCCCTCATCAAAGTTTGACGGCCCAGGCCTACAAAGAAAGCGACGGGTCTGTTTAAAAAAACTTAAGAGTACACCATACATTCCGGTGTGCTGGTGGAGTATGCAGTGCTGGCGCCAAGTTATTTAGCGCCCTAGGCAAAACTTATTAAAACGCTCCCTTTCACACAAATTAATTACTAAAACATATCCTATAAGAAAACAATTCATTAAAAGTGACATATTAATTTATTATCGATTGCTAACACGTTATAAGTAGACATCAAAATCAAATTTTACTTGCCTCCTTCGTCTCAAAAGTTTGTACTAATTCCTTCAATTCCACTTTGCAAGCGTGATCACATTTTATTGAAATTGGCAAGTCCAGGAGTCTACTTTGTACTTCACGACATAGCCCCTCTCCCCCCCCTCCCCCCCTTCCCCTCCCCCCTTAAAAATTTTAAAGTGCTGCACACCCCCCCCCCCCCCTCCCTGAGGAAAAACAGTCTGGAAAAAAAACACTGAAAAAAAAAGTTCTTGTAGTGTTTTACAGAAGCAAATAACTTAAAGTTGTATTTATACGTAAGCGGTCAACCTATCCACGGGAATTGGAAATGAATGTAACGTTAAGCAAAGAATTATCTCCCATTTGAAAATCCAAATAACAAAATTTTAATCAAGGGAAATAACTTTCAAATCAATAGCTAAATTAAACAATTGTAACAAAGATATGCTTGAAAAATACAATAAAACGCTCTGCATTGCATTAATTAATATTTGCAACAAATACTTCATATTAGCTATGTAAGCTTGTAAAAACAATATATTTTATCTATTTTTTACTTAACTGTAGGTTTTATTTAAAAGTTTAAATACGGTAGATTTTGTATAACATATTTCTATTCAATTTTGATGACCTAAAGTTTAGTGCACTAACGATTTAAAAATGTTTGTTATAAAATTTTGGATCCCTTTATTATAAAGGGATGCCTTTCATTAAATCAAACTCTGGTAATTGTTTTAGACTTCGCAAGAAGTAATGATAAAATATAAAAACAATTATAATTAGAAAAAACAAAGTTAACGGTAAGTTATAAATTCCATCCTATTTAATATAAATTAATACTTTAAAAGTGGTAATATAGATTCCTAAAAAACTAAAGATTTTTTAATTAGAGAATGCCTATCTTTCTTTGTAGTGTGTTCCGTCCTGAATTAAATAGTCTAACTCGAGTACTCGATATACTCTACTACATTCACTACACATATCAAACTTCGATGCCTAAACATAACTAGACTCGATGCTCCAGAACTACGACACCAACTTATTTAACTTCACCAAGCTCTACAAACGGTACTCCTAATCAACAACGATTTCACTGGACATACTACTACACTTTAACAGTCAATATAATTCGATACCTTAATACCACAAGAATCAATACTCCCGAACTTCAGATCTACGATACTTCATCGCCTGCATTGTCATATCTCTACTACCAATCAGATTCCACTAGACCTTCAACTACACAACAGCCAAATAAAAATAAAGACACATTAACACCTATATACTTTACGAATCCTATCAGCAACGGCCTTCCGTCGTTACTCCCAAATCTAAACGAGTCATCAAAACTTACCAAACAAGTACAATACTATGATTACCCCATCATTACAAAACTCTATACACCAGGACAGATTTCAAATTCAAAGTCAGATAAAAGGAGACTTACAAGCCCTATTCAAATATTCGAAATTTAAATTACGAACTTATTTAATCGTTTTCTACTTCAATTATGTGACTCCAAATTAAAAAGGCAAAGTGACTGGTAGAAAGCGCCCCGACCTTTCCACGCCCTTCCATATTAGGGAGGTGGGGTAAAATTTTCACCATCGCCATTAAATAAAGGCCTATATAGATCTAATTTTGGAGTAGAGGTGCAGAATTGATAGTTCTTCCTGGTTGTATGCAGTCCCGTAGATCGTAAGTCATCGGAAATTGGACCTATGTGTTGGAACGTTTTTAAGTTTAGTTTTCCAGTGACGATTGTTTCAACTTTTAAATATGTTTTTATCTAGCACTAATATGTCCTTTACAGCACCGTTCCTGTGGGCCCACTGGGATATGGTATACAAAAAATTGGCTTTTAACTGAGTAACATAAACCATCTTTTCAGTGTTGAACTACATCAATTGTTCATTTGCTGTTTTTAGTGTGGTGGGAGTTTAATCAAAAAAAGTGTACAGACAAAAGCCTGTCAACAGTATAAAATTTTAATGCAACACTTTGTTACAATTAAATACAGTCTCACGTAACCGATTATCGACTTGCTACTTGGCTTTACAAATAAGGTATCGATTACTTTAAATTAATTCGAATCGCCAAAAAATCAATCCCACCATGCAGAACAACTCAATAAAGCTTCATTTTTCAGATGAAAGCGTACATTAAATATTTATAGAAACCTTTGTCAAAATTTGCTGCGTGTATAAAGTTGCTCCAAATAACCTCATTAAAAAAAGTCGTGTTGTTACTAAGTTATACCACAACTGCCCGTGGCAAAGGTGCTGCTAATGTTGTACTTTAACTCACCATAAGAGGTCATCCATAAATGACGTCACGCTTTTTTGGACGATTTTTACCTCCCCTCAGTCACACGTCGCCACAAAAATCCAGACCACCACTCCCCTAAAAATGACGTCACACCTCAGCCTACAACACTCCTCAAAATTGCTGCTGAATTTATTTTTAAAACATCGATATTATTCCAAAATCTTGTCAGAACTCTGTCAATAAAGTATTTTGATCAATTCCTATTATAGTTTATTAAAACCATTTTCTAAAACGCGAAATAACGACTAAAACTCGTTTTATAACATTGCTTTTTATAATACAACAAAGTGACGTCACACCATCTGAACCCCCACCATCCCTATCATCACACACCGTCACAAAATCACGGACCCCCCTTCCCCCCTACGAGTGCGACGTCATTTATGGACGACACCTAACCCTAATATAATTCTGATTAGACATGTGTAAACTCCCTGCTCAAAACAGAAAAAAAAGAAAGGTTTTTATTCATAAATGAATTCAAATATGTCACTCTGCCTCTAAAACAGCATCCTCTATATATGCTTTTAAAAAAACGTGTTCACCTTAATTAAGCTAAGTACTATTTACAAATCTTAAGGTTCCTGGGGCAGGTCAAGTAGACTTCTCCAATTTCAGTGACCTAGGCATATGAAGGTATAGTGCACTATGTCTAGCCGCCATTAATAACAACATTGAAGGTTTAAAAATTATAATATATAAGTATAAGATGCTAAAGTAATTTTTTTCTTTGGATTTTATGACTTTTAAAAATATATTAATAAACTTTTAATACCAATTAATGTAAATTTTAAATCTAATTTAACTTTAGAAACAGTTATGTCAAAAATTTTATTTTTATCATTCAAAACTTAAGTAAGATTTTTTTTTTAAATGTCTCAACTATTCTTCATAAAACTGTTTCGTATTTTAAGTTTACTGTAATTATAATATTTACTTTATTTTATTATCATCTTTTCCTACTTAGTTGGCTTTCCGAATCATCAAACTTTTCAAAATGAAAATCGGGCGCAAGTTCCCCAACTTGTGGTCACCCTTATACTTTCTACCAAACCCATTCCTTTCATTAGTTAACCAATGTGATCGCACAAGTCTACCGTATCGGATGGCACTAGGGTACTTGACGTTCGCCTTCTGTGTTACATACCTACAAACATGTTTGGTACTAGCAGACCTCTACAACGTGGCACTCTACAAACCATCGTATCAAAGTTCCGACTTTCTCGACAGAAACAACCTATCTTTCTGGGCTGCCCTGGCTAACGACGGCAACCTGGATTATAACCTGGATAACAGACACTGTCAGCACACGTTGGAGGATCAGCCTGGATGGTGGATGGTGGATCTCAGGGGCGTGTATACGGTGGAGCAGATTATAATTACCAACAGGTGGGTTAAGTTTGATGTGTGCCGTTTTACCTAGAGAGATAAGAAACAATAATTATTTAAAGATTTAAATAAGTAATGAGAACATTCAGTTAAAATAGTCTTAATTCAAACAATAATAATTGTATAACTATTATTGTCATTGTAATTTAAATCATATTTTATAAAAACAATTATTATTATAAAATAGCTATAAACGAGGACCTATGGGTGATGCACACAAAGTTAAAAAACTGACCCAAAAATATTATTTATTTTAGTTTTACGTGTACAGTTTTTCCAAAATACTAATTTACTTGAAAATGTACGTAAAGCTAAGTGTATTCTGGTAAATAGGTCAACAACCAGTTCTTTGGCTCAAGCAGGTTTTATTGAGCTGTAGAACTGATTGGTGACCTAGTTACCATATATATATATATATATATATATATATATATATATATATATATATTTCACATTTTTTAAACAATCATTTTGCGTTCTACATACACCTACAATAATATGCCGTACTATAACTGTAGAATCCTAAGTAATTTAAAATAATGACAGCTGTTTTTTTTTTTATGAATTTTGTTTCTCCAATAATGTGGTTAATAATGCCCACTTCAGCTGGGTTAGAATTATAAGTAATTTACATTATGATAAACTTTCATTTCCCACAATGTGTGTCGATCAATTATTAAACTATGCTTGTACATATCATGGCCAAACGTGTCACTCTTGTATATTATTGAAATAAAACATCAAACATATTTTTTTCAGAGGTGACGATAGCTCCTACCTAAGGACACAAAATTACCAGATCGATGTTTTCCAAACTGACCCCCGGCTCTCAAGCAACTTTCAGGCTGCTGGGGTGGTGTGTTACATCAGGGTGGAGCCCCTGGGGCAGGGGGAGACGTACACACGGAACTGTACCACACCAGCTGTGGGGAGATTCGTCAGATTCATCAGGTGACCCCTCAATCCTCATCTGACTTTCTTAAACGTCTTTAGTTTAAGAGATGGAATTCTTTGAGTTGTGGGGTCGGCGTGGTCCAGTCGGTAAAGCTCATGGTTGCTAAACCGAAAAGTCTCGAACCCTGGTGCTGATGAGGCTCGTTATCTGGGGACAGCCACTCTTCTAAGAGAGATAACTTCAAAATCAAACAAGTGCTGCCTTGTAGTTTGTTCTTGGTTGGGCAAAGGCTATGGAAGCAAATCCAAAAAGAAAAGCAGGCTGAAATTGGAGTCAATGGCCTTAATGGGGCATAACCAGTTGACACGTATACCTAATTATGCTGGAGGGGATCCCTTCCATCAGTAAACTTAAGAACGAAGAAGAAGAAGTTGTAATTGTTTTAATTAGGTGATATATTGCTAATCACACAGATCTGAGCTAAAGTGTGTAAGGTACACCTTTAGCATCTTTATATTCGCGTATCAAATAAGTCAACTTAACAATATATACAATTTGTTTAACCGCCCAAAGTATCATTTAAAATAAATAAATTAAAGATCTGCATTTAGTATTTCAGGATACTATGTTAATGATTTTAATTAAACTATACAATAATAAAGCATAATGTAATAAATTATTCAACCTGAAAATCTAATACAATAAGGATCTATTCTATTAATGGGATCAATGGACGAATGCAACGCGATAAGGAAAATAAGGATCCATGACTGATGTTTAATGAGGCATAATATGCCTAAATCTACGTGCTCGTGTATTACTTATATCTATATCTATATCTATATATATATATATATCTATATATATATATATATAAATATATATATATCTTTATATATATATATATATATATATATATATACATATATATAACGAGCTGACCCGCGACGTAGCATACGCCGCTATCTAGTTGTTTTATTTTCTACTTATCACCAATTCATAATTTGTGATTTTGACACTACCCCACCGCCCTGCCTCCCGATCAGTGAAAGGAGCCGTTTACAGACGACAATGAAAATATCAAGCAGAACTTGTTATCTCCCTTTAGTTTGAACCCGTTTAAAAACTAAATTATCTGCCCCTAATAGCCGAACCGGCGATTGTAAACATTCGGGGTGAACCACAGCTCACCCGACAGGTGGGGAAGAGGGTGGTGGCTAAGCTGCGTGTTTTCTATGGTCCCCATGAAGAGAATTATATATAGATATGTATATATACGTATATGTATAATTATCTACAGATATATATTTATATATAGATAGATTTTTAGTACTTATACCCCTTTCTATCACTCCTGAACATGCTGACCAGATACACCAAGGACTACATGAATGTGTGCGAGATTCAGGTCATGTCCAGTCAAGCAACGATCCAAGAAAATTATTTTTCTGTCAGAAAAAATTACCTCCTGCCTCAGACACCTTACTACACGACTCACGCCGGCTGCTCCTACACGTGCATCACACAGTGCCTACAGCGTCGGGACAACGAGACATGCACCGCCCTCAACTGGATTCGAACCTCAAACGAATGCCAGATGTTTAAACTAGATCCACGCTTTATGCCAATGCTACAATCGGACTTGACTTCGGATTTTTACATGGAGAAATAGTGTCGACTGTAAAATGTAACATCGAAAGTCTCAAAATAGAAAACAATAAATGGCCTTTGGTTAATTAGATTCTTATATTTAATTAATGTTGTTTTAAATATCAGTTTATTTTTTGTATGGTGATCGTGTTACTTAGCGAAATGATGCAACGACATATCATAATTTAGGCAACAAATTTGTGGATTAGAATTTCGGATAAAAAGGGTGGATAAGACTTCAGGACAAAATGGTGGATTATCCAGAGGCGTCGTGAGGTGGGACGGGCGGAGTTGCGGACCGCACCTGGCTAAACCATTTAGGGGGGGGGGGTGACATAAAAACAAAAAAATTGCAACAATATATGAAAAAATATGCTTTTTGCCAGCTCAGTTAATGATTAATTACAGTTTTAAAAGTTTTATGTACAAATTAATGATCCCGACAGGGAGGGTGTGGGGGAGGCTGGGGGGAGGAGTTGACACCAAGACTTAACTTGCTAACCATTGAGAAAACTATCTCTATATCCATCTATACTCGGCTATATATAAACATCGTTACTATTTACTGTGCGCACTTTAAAACTATCAATCAAATGCAATATGCGCAGATTAAAGAAAAGTTTTGTTGAATATTTTCAATAACCGATAACTCAATCAATGACAGGGGTAGGATGACATTTTTAATAATTTACTATTAATTTACTATTTGAAACATTGCTTTTTTTACTTGAATTATTGATGGATTAAAATAATATGAGGACTAATCGACGCCATTAGGCAAACTGGTAGGGGGGGAAGGGGGGGGGGGGGACGGGACACACCATGTTGCAATTGCAACTATATATATATATATATATATATATATATATATATATATATATATATATATATATATATATATATATATATATATATATATATATATATATACATACATGCTCGTGTATTAGTTATATCTATATGTATATATATATATATATATATATATATATATATATATATATATATATATATATATATATATATATATATATATATATATACATATATATATATATACATATATATATATACATACATATATATATAATATATATATATATATATATATATATATATATATATATATATATATATATATGTATGTATATATATATATATATATATATATATATATATATATAATATATATATATATATATATATATATATATATATATATATATATATATACATATATATATATATATACATACATATATATATATATATATACATACATATATATATATATATATATATATATATATATATATATATATATATATATATATATATATATATATGTATGTATATATATACATACATATATATATATATATAATATATATATATATATATATATATATATATATATATATATATATATATATATATATATATATATATATATGTATATATATATATATATATATATATATATATATATATATTATATATATATATATATATTATATATATATATATAAACGTGGGTCGGGCAGATTTATGATTAAAGAGAAAAAGCACACAACACACGAATTTCGGAAATTTGATGGTGAACGTACCCACGTTTTTTGTCATCAAATGTATGAACAGTTATCACAAGAACCTGCACAGCTCGAGGAAGCACACAATCTACGAGCAGTCATTGGTAGATCCCCTAGGGTCGAAAGAAAAATTTATTTTCTACTTTTTAGTCCACAAGAAAAACGTGTTTTTTTTTTTAAAGTTTTTTTTAAGTATTTTATTTACGTATTCGGTCCTTTTTGACCTCTTTAAAGATTTCTTAGTTACGCGTCGATAAATGTGTATACCTCTTCTTACCCCCCCCCCCCCCCTTTCCCAGATTCAATAAAATGTTTGTAAACTTTCTTTTACGAATATATCAAGTAAATCAATGATAATTACAGGAATGTTTTTTCTTTCTACTTGATATCCGTGACACTGAATGGTTATTTCAAAGTTTCTATCTAACATATTTTTAGACGCGTAGCGACCCTTCTCGGCGCCCGGGGACAAAGTTCAATTTGGCGCCCCCCCCCCCTCCCGTTTATTTATTTTATTTATAATGCAAAACTGCAGGTAAAATGAGCTTTTAATTATTTTTTTTCAACCCATTTTGGCACCCCCTATGGTTGGCGCCCGGGGACATATGTACCGCCCCAACCCCTCGCTACGCCTCTGCATATTTTAATCGCCAGCGGCATCGGAAAATACCCATTTGATATATGAATATGTATATTATATGGTAGGCCTCTATATAAATATAGACACGTAAGCCTATATAGAAACCATCAGGAAAAAAAAAAAAAAAAATTTATATATATATATATATATATATATATATATATATATATATATATATATATATATATATATATATATATATATATATATGAAACATGTTAAAACACCATCCATGTAATACATTAGATCGTATTAGTGCATCTGCAATATCTAGTGTGTCGCCTCAGTAGCTAATAGTTTTCAATAAAACAACTAAGTGCATCATCAAACACGAATTCCGAATGACTAGGTTTTCGACCGAGGCTAAACTCGTGTGATCTATTCATGTCCTGTCTCTTTGAAGTTTTATTTTAAACCATATTTTACAGTTGATTATTTGGATTGATCCATATGTCGTTAGCAGCACATGTTACAAAAATTGGGCATCATTTGGGGATTTGTAATAGGTAGATCCTAGGATTGCGCTTAACATCAGTTTTATTCTGTTTAATCGCTGTAAGTAGTTTAAATATTTTTAGATCTCTTTTATTTATAGATATGCAATAGTTCTATGTTTTGTTTATTCTGTTTAATCGCTGTAAGTAGTTTAAATATTTTTAGATCTCTTTTATTTATATAAATGCAATAGTTTTATCTTTTGTTTATTCTGTTTAATCGCTGTAAGTAGTTTAAATATTTTTAGATCTCTTTTATTTATAGATATGCAATTTTATCTTTTGCTATTATGCCCAATGGGATCGGAGCCTGTTGGTTTAAATTCGTGCCAGAAATGTTAAAATCAGTGACGATGTCCAACAAATTATGTCTTGTTTAGTATTTTTTTGTATATGACGGCCTGGCCTAAACGGTAGAGTATAAGGCTGCTAACCCGAAAGTCTTTACGTTGAATCCAGGTCTAAGTAAGTAGAAAATCTCTGAGTCCACCCAGGTCTCGGACAGAAGAGGCTCGTTAGCTGGGGACAGCCACTCTTCTAGGAGAGACAACTCCAAAATCAAAAAGCTGCTGCCTTGTAGTTTGTTCTTGGTTTGACAAAGGCTATGGAAGCAAATCCAAAAAGAAAAGCAGGCTGAAATTGGTGTCAATGGCCTCAATGGCGCATAACCAGTTGACACGTAATCCTTAATTGTGTTGGAGGCGTTGTCGAGTCGGCAAAAGCTCATGGTTGATAAATTCGAAAAAAAAAACCCTCTGGCAGATAAGGCTCGATCCCTCCCAACACTAAAAATTGAGAACGAAGAAGAAGAAGAACCAGTTCATATGGTGACCCTAACTCAGGGTAATTAAAGGCGGGTGGAAAAGGCGGGTGGTCTGACAACATCTTCCCTTCATATGCCGAGGTCAAGAGACATATGAATTCTACTGCATCTGCCCAATAGATCGCTATGTCTAAAAAGGAATCTTTACTTAAGTATTTTTCGTGTGTAGAACATTTGATATTCCCATTCTATTCCTACTGACATTTCTTTATTATTGGTTTAAAATTTGACTCATCTTTAGATACAGTTCATATTTCATTTCTTTTACTACCGTTCTTTTTCTTCGTTCTTAATTTTAATGTTGGAAGGAGGAATCCCCCCAGCACACTTAAATATACGTGTCAACTGGTTATGCGCCATTGATGCCATTGAATCCGATTCCAGCCTGCTTTTCTTTTTGGATTTGCTTCCATAGCCTTTGTCCAACCAAGAACAAACTACAAGACAGCAGTTGTTTGATTTTGGAGTTGTCTCGAGACTGTTCGGTTTAGCAGCCATGAGCTTTACCGACTCGACCACGCCGATTCCTTACTAAAATTAGAACATTGTGTAAATTATAAATAATGATTGTGTTTATTTAGCCCAGTTCACCGTTACGATGTTTCTCTACATTGTCACCGTGTTGACTGTGATGGTGGGAGTGGCTCAGGCCGCCAACTGTCAAAATCTCCCCCCAGGCTTGTCGAAGATTGTAAAGGGTGTGGACATCAGCAGACTGGACCTGCTGCCTCTAGACAACGCGGGGGATAACGGAATCTTGAAGCCGATTTTCAGCATCACTTGCGATGAACAGAAAAAATGGAAAAATCCGAAAGGCGTGGAATACGATCTCCCTGATATGGTTAAGTCTGCATTTTATTATTTTCAAAACGACCAATCACTTTTAAGTAGGCCTAGTTCGATATATAAATATTATAAACGTCATGATTTTTTGAAAAATAACTACATTATTTATTATAATCTTGTATAAAATTAATTAAATCTCAAGATTACGTTCTAATTGATTGTAGAATACTGCATAAGGTATAGTACCAAATACTTTAAGAAGCAACTTTGTTACGGTGTCCTTTGTTCTATACACTTTGTTCCATACGCTTACTTTGTTTCGGTGTCTTCCGTTTCATACACGTTCTTTGTTACGGTGTCCTTTGTTTCATACACGTTCTTTGTTACGGTGTCCTCCGTTTCATACACGTTCTTTGTTACGGTGTCCTCCGTTTCATACACGTTCTTTGTTACGGTGTCCTCTGTTCAATACACGTTCTTTGTTACGGTGTCCTCCGTGTCATACACGTACGTGTTACTGTGTCCTACTCTGGGCAGAACTTAAATTCAGCTTTCAATAAATACGAAGTAAGCAAATTATGATAACAAATTAAACCCTAAATCGCCAAATTTAGCATAAAATTTAATGCCATTAAATTTATTTATCCTACTTTTAAAAATGTAAAGATCTTTACCTAATTACCTACATTCATTCTTTTGGTATAATATTGTATCAAACATTTTCTAAAAGTATAAAGCAAAATGACAGTCGACTATAGAGGACAAATATGTTTTATAACATGCATATTTTACAATACTTTGTGTGTGTGTTCTTGTAGCGACTTTTGCGAAAAGAACGAAATTTTTTCAATATGCTAAGAAAATTAAAGCAATAAGACACCATTTGTAGTAATAAAACGATGTTTACAACACCTCTGTATGCGATAATTTTAGATACGTCCATTTCTATGAGAAAAACAAATTTCATCAATAAAGCCGAAGACAAAAAAACCTAAACTGATCACTGACAGTATGACACACTACATAGCACCTTATGTTATAGGCTATAATTCTATGTTTCTCTAAGATCACTAGCTTGGAGTCCAGACCTATCGGCACGTTTACATCAAAAGCAAACACCTACAAAGATCACAAGGAATTGAAAAACTCGATGGCAGCAACTGTTGGTCTGGACGCTGCCGTCGCGCTTTTAGCCTTTTCAGCAAGTGCATCATACAAGAAACTGAAACATTCCATCGACAACAGCTCTATCCTAACATCCGAAGCATCAGCATTCTCATCCGTGTATCAGGCAGAACTCAACACTCCGGACTTTTTAATATTCGAGAAACAAGTACAGTTCAAAACAAGTACAGTTCAACATTGATAAACATTTAAATGGAACATTTGAAAGTAACATTCAGGCTTACGAAAATTTTATCAAAACGTTTGGCACGCATTACTTTAGTAGCGCTAATTTCGGTGGGTATATTAGAGTTTTACTTGAGACTGAAGAAAAGTATGCGTTGAATAAAAAGGAATCAGAAATCATCGCAGGCGCAAAAGCGTCTTTGGATCAGCTAGGATCTGGAAAGTTTGATTTCTCAAAAGAAAATTTGAAAACCGATGAAAATTTTAAAACTGCGACGCACAAAACAGTGAAGTATTTCGGTGGGGAAACAAGCAACAAAGAAAACGTAGATTTTCCAGCATGGCAGAGTACTATAGAGAAAAATCCTTGGTTGTATTCTGGTAAACTAGTTCCTATCAGTGATTTAATTAAAGACGAAACAAAGAAGTCTTCCATGATTAAAGCTGTGAAAAACCATTTATTGAAAGGATTTCTAGACGAACTTGAAACTAGTACGCATTCTCTTTCCGAAAACTTCGACAACTTCATTATAAAAGATTTATGGAACAAAGCGAAGCTACTTCAGAAAAATAAAATCACATCAGAAGATGATGTGAATGCTTTGGCGAAAGCTGTTGAGGATTACACCAAAATTCCTTCATGGTTTTCACACGACACTCATATTTGCTTTCAATGGAAAGGTGCACCTGTTTTTTCAAATTGCAATAGTTTAACAACGGGAAGCATCTGCTCGCAAGTAAACAACATGACCGCTCGGTACCACGATAACTCAAAGGCCATGTTTGGTGGGTGTACAATGCAGTGGAAAATTCAGTCAAATAACTTTCCATCCTGGTTCAATCAGGTGAAACTGTGCTTTCAATATCAACCAACTGGTAACGAAGGCCAATGTGTCAGTGAGTCAAAGCAAAGTATGGTATGCGCCAACATCAACAACTACACACCAGAGTACATGGACGACACCGACGGCCGCAGTGGTGGATGTAACATGAGGTGGAAGCTTGAAGTTCCTCAGACAGCACCTCTGTGGATGCAGGCTGTGAGGTTGTGCTTCTCATGGAAAGCAACAGGCGACGCGAAACAGTGCGGTGTGGGGGCACCGAATGACCAGTGTGTGATCGGCAACAACTGGACGAAATATTACCTGGACGATACGGACAAGAGGAGCGGGGGCTGTGACCTGAGCTGGGGTATAAAAACACCTGTGTGACGTAGATGAATGTTTTTATATGCCAGATTTTTTTTAAGTTTACCTTTTTTTTTTAATTTCTAGTCTACTGCACCTAATGGACCTGAAAAAAAAGAACCTAAAATCAATGAGTTAACATGAATAAAATATACAAATATTACTATTTAATTAAAATGTATACAACTACATTCTTTAACTAGTCGTTTGTTCTTCTTCGTCTTGTTCCCTAATTGTAATTATGGAGGGGGATTTAGTGTCAACATTAAAATCACACAGTGGCCTGTTAACTCAGACTGCTTTTTTCTGGAAGGGACTCCATAGCCTTTTGTATGCACAGCAGCAGTTGTGCGATTATGATGTTTTCTCGCGTAGATGTGTTGACGATTTCATCTGCGGGTGATTCAAACTCGTTACTTTTGGGGTTAGGGGGTAGACCCGACAACGCCGTCCCCTTATATTTTTTGCCGAATGGGCCGGTGGTGACGGGCATGTGTGGTACACTAAAGCTGTCCTGATTGATAGAACTTCCGGTCAAACTTCTTCTTCTTCTTCGTTCTTAATTATTAGTGTTGAAGGGGATCGAGATTTATCTGCCAGTGGGTTTGAACTCGAGACTGTTCGAATGTATCAACCATGAGCTTTTTGCCGACTCGACCACACCTTCTACACAATTAAGCGTTACGTGTCAACTGGTTTTGCGCCATTGAGGCCATTGACTCCGATTTCAGCCTGCTTTTCTTTTTGGATTTGCTTCCATAGCCTTTGTCCAACCAAGAACAAACTACAAGGCAGCAGTTGTTTAATTTTGGAGTTGTCTCTCCTAGAAGAGTGGCTGTCCCCAGCTAACGAGCCTCATCTGCCCGAGGGTTCGAACTCGAGACTTTTCGGCTTAGCAACCATGAGCTTTACCGACTCGACCACGCCGACCCCTTTCCGGTCAAACAACTGTGGACACCTAGCCTCACTACCTGACTCTCAATGTAAGATTTTCATACACTACACCTGACCTGTCTCACACAGTTTCGATACGCTAGGCTGTACAGTTAGCATATACAATGTATTTTAATAGACTTAACAATCTAGTCAGAATAACGATATAATTTAAGGCGATCACTTTGATTAAAAAATGTAAGTTGTGAGGAAACTAAACTTTCATTGTGAGGTATAACAACATTAACATAAGCACACTTATGTATGTAACAACATGAAGATCAATTCAAGTTATGAGCTGTAAATACATGAACCAAAGCTACCTTAGCACGTCAAGTGTAAAAGCCACAAATGTCAAAAGTTAGGCCAAAAAGATACTGTCTACAAGCTGGTCAATATTATATTTTCGTAGTCAGTCAACATTTTTTGGAGTAGTTGGCTAGCACCTTATTTGAGGTAATTAGCCACTATCTTTTTTTTTTGGTAATTGGCTAACACAATGTTTGTGGAAATTTGTTAACAACTTATTTTACCCGTTGTCGTAAACAAACCACTACTATTTTGCCACGAATTATTTTTCTACTTCCTGTTTGCATTCATTTCATTAATATTCATGGCTTAGTAAATACGGTGTAGATGTACAATACTGCATGTATAACAATATAAATACTTAATATCACCGAGGCAGCTAATACCATCATTGATACAATGCGGGCTGGAAAATCAATAATAATAATCGCTTTTTTTGTTATTGATTTTATTTTATTTTTATTTTTGTTAGTGCATTTTAAATTATACTGAACAGCTGTGTTTAGAGATTAGCCTCTATTTGTAAAACTTAGATCACGTGAGATTTATAAGTTTTCTGAGGTTAATCAGAGGCGCCTACACGGTTGGGCTGTGTTATGCCCGTGTAATGTGTTTTACTCACACTTATATTACGCAGTGTTGTATCGTACACACTAGTATTGAGTTGATCAAATGTAAACAGTGTTAAGATTTTACGACAATTCAACACCCGATCCACGTCAATAATTACCATCATTCGACATCCCTTTTGATAACTACCCACCAGAGGCGTAGCAAAGAGGGTGGGGGGGGGGGGGGTGCGGAACGCACCTGGTGACATCATTTAGGGGGGTGACACCAAGGCAAAAAAATAGCAAAATATATAGAGAAAAATGATAATTCCACTTAATTAAGTGATTAATTCGAGTGTTATATAGTGTTTTAAGAGGTGCAAATAGAAAGTTTGAAGGGGGTGGGTGCAAATCGAAAATTGAAAGTTTGTCGCCACGCCTCTGGGCGGGTGACACCATTAAGTGCTGCACCGGGTGACACCCGACCTCGCTACGCCACTGCTACCCACCTCATCTCAGAGGCTAAAGCTTCTATCTTTTCAGCTCTTCTCAGATTCCACGAAGCAGACCTAGTTTGTATTCTAACATTTAGAAGTTTGAACATAATTTCTAATTAATTCTACTATAGAATATCCTCTCACAATCCCATACCATACGCAATACATGACCAGTTTAGTTTTATTTTGTGCATTGTATATCTATACGCCTTTTAAATACAATCTGAAAGCGTCTATGCAAATAAATGATTCTGAACAATAACTCGGATATTGAAGTATTGTTCGTACCGCTCCGCTGGTAGTATTAATTGCTTACAAACAACCCGTTCGTAAATAAATAACGTCGTTGTCTTTTGCTTATTCTACATCATCCCCGATTTGTTTTGGATAAAAGATTTTCCTATTCTACACACACTCTTGTATATTCTAGTAAGTACATATTGTGTTTGTTTTTATTTAATGTTATTGATTGTCTACACTAAACTATCGTATTTTATATTAGTTGGTTGTAAAAATCGCGGTTTATTTACTCTACGTTAGAGCGTAAGTTCAGCACGTGAATTCATATTGTTGATATAAAATTGAGTTGTATGTTTCTGTATTAGAAAAGTTCACCGTTACGATGTTTCTCTACATTGTCACCGTGTTGACTGTGATGGTGGGATTGGCCCAGGCCGCCAACTGTCAAAATCTTCCCCCAGGCTTGTCGAAGATTGTACAGGGAGTGGACATCAGCAAACTGGACCTGCTGCCTCTAGACAACACGGGGGATAACGGAATCTTGAAGCCGATTTTCGATTTCACCTGCAGTAAAGGGAATAAATGGACCAATTCAAAAGGCGTGGTCTACGATCTACCTGATCAGGTAAGGGGGTCGTTCAGAAAAAAACTCAACCCTCACCGGGGGAGAGGGGTTAAATATTTCGTGACAATGTGTGACGAGGGGGGGGGGTGGAGTTCAGAAAGACATCATCCTTTTCGGTTGGACGGGTTCCACATGTTGTGACAATGTGTGACGAGGGGGGGGGGGATTTCATTTTGTATAACGACACACTTTTCGTTATAATACAAAATTTTGATAACTGAGTTACGTCGTTTTTACCTTTTTGAAAAACAGTATTTTTTGTTTGAAATGTGTAATAATGATATACTCAATTTAGAGAGTGCTAAGAAAATATTTTAGATACAAATGTTTCAGGAGGGTTGTAGGCTACGGAGTGACGTCATATAAAGGTGAGGGGTCTGGCTTTTAGTCACGATGGTTGACGATTAATAGGGGTGAAAGAAACAATAGTTCAAAACGCTTGTGGTCATTTATGGATAACACCTAGGTCCTAAAGACTACTTTAATACAAAACCTGAAAGAGCTGTTTAAGTTTCGTTTATATTGTGGATATCACGTTAATATTAGTTGCATAATGTTTATATAACATTTCAACATTTTCTGACAGATTGTGCACATTGATACGTTACCTGGCGGATCGTTCACCTCACGAATAGCTTACTACAAAGATTACAAGGAATTAAAGAACGAAATGAGTACCAATGTCGGACTAGACGCGATGACAGCTATGTTTGCTTTCTCTTTGAGCGCTTCCTACAAGAAACTAAAACATGCAATCGACAACAGCTCGACGCAAACATCAGAAGCTTCAGCATTTTTATCCGTGTTTCGGGCTGACGTAAACACACCGGACTTTCTTACACTAGACGAACAATTAAAATCCTACATTGATAAATCTTTAAATGGAACATTCGAAAGTAGCGCCCAGGCCTACGATAAAATTATTGAATTATTTGGCACTCATTACTTTAGCAGTGCTAATTTCGGTGGGTATATTCGAGTTTTACTTGAGACTGATGAAAAATATGCTTTGAATAAAAGTGAATCTGATATCAAAGCCAACGCTAAAGCGTCTTTGGATCAGCTAGGATCTGGAAAGTTTGATTTTTCAAAAGAAAAATTAAAAACCGATGAACAGTTTAAAACTGCGACCCACAAAACTGTGAAGTATTACGGTGGAGAAACAAACAACACGGAGAACGTAGATTTTCCAGCATGGCAGAGTACTATAGAAAAAAATCCTTGGTTGTATTCTGGTAAACTAGTTCCTATCAGTGATTTAATTAAAGACGAAACAAAGAAGTCTTCCATGATTAAAGCTGTGAAAAACCATTTATTGAAAGGATTTCTAGACGAACTTGAAACTAGTACGCATTCGCTTTCCGAAAACTTCGACAACTTCATTATAAAAGATTTATGGAGCAAGGCGAAGCTACTTCAGAAAAATAAAATCCTATCAGAAGATGATGTGAATGCTTTGGCGAAAACTGTTGAAGATTACACCAATATTCCTACATGGTTTTCACACGACACTCAGATTTGCTTTCAATGGAAAAGTACTGGCATGTCTTCACAATGCAATGATCTGTCAGAGGGCGTCTTCTGTTCACAAATAAACAACATGAGTTCTTGGTACCACGACAGCACAAACTTGTTGTTTGGAGGGTGTAAGTTACAGTGGAAAATTCAGTCAAAGAATTTCCCAACCTGGTTTAAAGACGTAAAGCTGTGCTTTCAGTACGAAGCAACTGGTGACAAAGACCAGTGTGTTGGTGCGACAAAGGAAAAAACGGTATGCGCCAACATCAACACCTACACACCAGAGTACATGGACGACACCGACGGCCGCAGTGGTGGATGTAACATGAGGTGGAAGCTTGAAGTTCCTCAGACAGCACCTCTGTGGATGCAGGCTGTGAGGTTGTGCTTCTCATGGAAAGCAACAGGCGACGCGAAACAGTGCGGTGTGGGGTCACCGACTGACCAGTGTGTGATCGGCAACAACTGGACAAAATTTTACCTAGACGATACGGACAACAGCAGCGGGGGCTGTGACCTGAGCTGGGGTCTAAAAACATCTGTTTGACTTAGATGAATGTTTTTATATGCCAGATTTTTGTTTTAAGTTTACCTTTTTTTTAAATTCTAGTCTACTGCACCTAATGGACCTGAAACAAAAAAGAACCTAAAATCAATTAGTTAACATGAATAAAATATAAGAATATTACTATTTGATTAAAATGTATACAACTACATTTTTTAACTAGTCGTTTGTTCTTCTTCGTCTTGTTCCCTAATTGTAATTATGGAGGGGGATTTAGTGTCAAAATTAAAATCACATAGTGGCCTGTTAACTTAGACTGCTTTTTTCTGGAAGGGATTCCATAGCCTTTGTATGCGAAGCAGCAGTTGTGCGATTATGATGTTTTCTCGCGTAGATATGTTGTTGACGATTTCATCTGCGCGGGGTTTAAACTCAGGACTTTTGGGTTTAACGGGAAGGCGCTCTACGGCCCGACCACGTCGTCCCTTTATATTTTTTGCCGAATGGGCCGGTGGTGACGGGCATGTGTGGAGCACTAAAGCTGTCCTGATTGGTGGAACTTTCGGTCAAACAACTGTGGACACCTAGACTCACTACCTGACTCTCAATGTAAGATTTTCATACACTACACCTGACCTGTCTCACACAGTTTCGATACGCTAGACTGTACAGTTAGCATATACAATGTATTTAAATAGACTTAACAATCTAGTCAAAATAACTTGCTATATTTTGAGGCGATCACTTTGATTAAAAAATGTAAATTTATTGAAACTGTATGAATACTAAGATAATTTTTCTAGTTCTTTTTTTTTTGTATAAACTGATTTTAAAAACGTCATTAAAGGGTATCAAACGTTAAAGATAAATATCTATCTCGACTTCAAATTGGTGCGACGTAACTTGTCACATATTTATTTTTAGATAAATAAAGGGTAGACAATATAATCAAACCAACGTTATAAAATGGTAGACAATATAATCAAACCGTAATTATAAAAAGGTAGACAATATAATCAAATAAACGTTTTGCTTTCTCTTGTTGACCTTACACAGTAAATAATGTAAATGATTTTGGAAAGTGTAATAAGATGATTAATCTTCTTCTTCTTTTTCTTTCTTAATTGTAATAATGAACGGTATTTTCTCTACCACAATTAGATATTACGTGTCTACGTTTTATGCGTCATTTAGACCATTGAATCCTATTTTAGTCTGCCATTGTTTTTGTTTTTGCTTCCATACCTTTTGTCCAACCAAGAACAAACTAGAAGATAGCAGTTGCTTGATTTTGGAGTGTTCTCTCCGAGATGAGTTGCTGTCCCGAGCTATGGAGCCTTACTTGCCCGGGGGTTTAAACTCTGAACTATTCGGTATAACAACCAAGAGCTTCATCTTATATTTAATTTAACTACGCTTTAATTTAAATATTTAAAAAAAAATTTAAAATGCATATAAAAACAATTCAATATACTTTTATTTTAATATATATCAGCAAAATGTATTTTAAAACAACTCACAGATGTGTTGAACAAAGTGTGAACTGCTTGGAGGAGTGTTTTGCTAGAGTTGTTAGATCATTACTTCTCCCATATTAGCTTTGGCACGGACGGTAGAGACAAAACATCCTAGTGGCATAAACTATGAGGCAACATGTCGCAGAACAAACAACACAGATAACAACAAGCTTTTATGACGTTGTATACAGTCAAATAAAACTATACTATTGATTATAAGCTACTATGATGGCGAATATTTGTTTTGTTACTCAACTTCTTCTAAAGTTCCCTATTTTTTAAATAATTTAGCTTAACATGAAATAATTATATCACTCATCTAATTAGATATACTTCTCCTTGTAAGATTTATGAAAGATATTTTAACCTAAATACATTTTTTCCCAAGATAGATCGTTGTTTTGAAGTTTATTTCTTAAAGACATTTGTAAATGCAATTAATTGAAGACAATAGTTTATATACATATATATATATATATATATATATATATATATATATATATATATATATATATATATATATATATATATATATATATATATATATTATATATATATATATATATATATATATATATATATATATATATATATATATATATATATAATAGAGGATGTTGAATGTGTTAGTTAACATTAAAATTGATTTTAACACCCGCTGGCTTATAAGTTGTTAGGAACCAGCCGCTAAAATCAACCAGGATAGATAAGATGTTTGTTAACTTTGTAATTGCATGCGTGTACCTAAAACGTATATAAATGATAGTTTGAGTGCATTGTCTGAAAACTTTGGTTTTTTCACACAACCATCCAAGTACATCATAAAAAATGACGCCTTTTCTAGTTCTCATCAGCATGCTGGTTGGCTCAGCTTTCGTAAGTATATCGATATAACTGTGATAATACATATTATGCTAAGATGTAATTAATGTAGATAATTTAATTGACTATTTTATAATAAAACTATTATAGATCTTATAATTAATCACGATAGATATTGGCCTTAACGGAACCAAACTACCAAATTTATTGCAATCTATATTATGAAATTTTTAATTAACAACTTTTTTTTTTTGACAAATATTTTGAATATTTATAAAATATTGAGCCTTCAAAGTAAAAATAACTAGTACGAAAATGTTCATTTTATCCTGACAGGTATTCAATCAATCAATTAATCGTTCCGTAACCCTTGTTTGGGATCGTCGGGGTATCATAGTTGTTTTGAAGTTCTCAAATTTTCCGCCATTTTTCTCTGTCCTTTGTTGATCTAAGCAGTTGTGTGCCCATGTAGTCTCAGTTTTCTAGTTTTGACTTTGCTTAAGCTCAGTAGATTCTCAAAAAGAACCAATCACAACCCTGGTCGCTTCACGAATCTCTCCATGAAATCCTCAGAAGTCTGCGTAGACATGTAATTTCTAGGGCCTGGATTCTTCTCTGAAGTTCTCCGTTAATCATCCATGCCTCGCATTCATAAAAGATGGCCATAATTGAAAAGAGGGAAAACGCGTAAACATATAGTGTGACTACTATATTAAAAAAAATTAATTTATTAAATAATAAAGAAAAAATAAATAGAATCCGGTTAATATAGAGTACCAATTACAATCTATGAACATTTTTTAAAGCTACATGCTTAAGTATTGTATAGTACAATAGTTAAAGCAGTAACTTCAAGTAATAAATACACCTTCGCGTTTCTGAACGATAGAGTATAGATCTTGAATTACATTGTTTACAATGTAAAACAATGAAGTAACTGGGTAGTAATTCAGAAGCATAACGACCTTGTTAGCCCTGGTCAAAGAGATAACCACAAAGGCTATATCCCTGGCGTGGTGATCGCTTTTACATCGGATAGATGAACAACATAAATGGAGTCTTAATATTCAGGTTTCATCTCTTTTCTTAAGCAACCCATCCCGTGAAACGTTCAAATTAATTTTTCTATACAGACAGTCCATTGTGCTGTTTATTCAATCAATACGTTTTCAGTCGATGTGATGTTGTTTCTACGTAACATTTGGTATATGCGGCGTTCATTCTATGTGGTACCAGAGGCGTAGCGAGGGGGGGGGGGTGCGGACCGCACCGGGTGACACCATTTAGGGGGTTGACACCAAGGCAGAAATAGCAAAATATATAGAGAAAAACTTGAAGGGGGGGGGGGGGGGGGCGCAAATCGAAAGTTCGAGGGGGCGGGGGTGGGTGCAAATTGAAAATTTGAAAGTTTGTCCCCGGGAAGGGTCGCTACGCCTCTGGGGGGGGGGGGGGGTGACACCATTAAGTGCCGCACCGGGTGACACCCGACCTCGCTACGCCACTGTGTGGTACTATTGTATTAATTCCTTTTGAAATTATATTTCTATGTTCAAAATATTGCTGGCTTACTCACACAAAATTAAACGTGTAATCATAGCAGAAAGAATTATAATTTTTAGAAGTCATTAAATAATCATCAATTAACATTAAGTAAAAAAAAAATCTTACCTCATTCTAATAGTCCTACAAATAAGTATATTTCCTTTAATTTTGGGTAGTGTAATTTAAAGTTAGGTAAAGTTAGGTTAGGTTAGGTTAGGTTAGGTTAGGTTAGGTTAGGTTAGGTTAGGTTAGGTCAGGTCAGGTCAGGTCAGGTCAGGTCAGGTCAGGTTAGGTCAGGTTAGGTTAGGTTAGGTTAGGTTAGGTTAGGTTAGGTTAGGTTAGGTTAGGTTAGGTTAGGTTAGGTTAGGTTAGGTTAGGTTAGGTTAGGTTAGGTTAGGTTAGGTTAGGTTAGGTTAGGTTAGGTTAGGTTAGGTTAGGTTAGGTTAGGTTAGGTTAGGTTAGGTTAGGTTAGGTTAGGTTAGGTTAGGTTAGGTTAGGTTAGGTTAGGTTAGGTTAGGTTAGGTTAGGTTAGGTTAGGTTAGGTTAGGTTAGGTTAGGTTAGGTTAGGTTAGGTTAGGTTAGGTTAGGTTAGGTTAGGTTAGGTTAGGTTAGGTTAGGTTAGGTTAGGTTAGGTTAGGTTAGGGTTGAATCCGCTCCGTTGTGTTGTGTTGTGTTGGGTCAGGTCAGGTCAGGTCATGTGTTCAATATTTGAGATCATATATTAGACACTATATGATTTCTATAAAAATATTATAGCTCACAAAATAGTACAAAGTAAAATTGTTTAATTTAGCATTTATTAAAATAGCCTAGAAATTACCTTTAAATTATTTTTTTTAAATTTCATAATGCATTACCAAGTCTATTAATGCTTGGAACGGTGGGTCTAAATCACGATCTAGCATTTATTCAAAAAGAGAGGATACCACCGCCTTAGCCATTTTGAAAAATGTTTCTGATTTAATTTTACTAGCGGAAAAAGGTAAAAATTCAAAATTCTTATTGACAATGGTCATTTTTTAATGAATTAAAAATATACACTGCAAATTGTATTTGGAACGGTCGTTTAAAAACGCATTAATATGTATTTGTTATTCTTTTTGTTTAGGGATTATTGCAAATGATTTAAAAGGAAATGCCAGCAATATCGCAGATGCCATTAAAGATTTTTTAGCATCTAACGGTGGCAGTGGTAAGCCTCATTTATAGTTCAATACGTCTTTTCGCTTTCTATGTTTAGACTTTACTTTTATTCACGATTTTAAATTTTATTTTTTCAAAGGCTTTTATTCATCTTGCTCAGTACGCATTGCGTGTGGCTCCGCAAATCTTGGAATACTAATTTAACCCACTCCCCATTGTCTGATGGAGCTGAAATTTGGTACAGTTATAGATCTTGAACTTGATTGACAATGCGAGAATATGGAATTTTCAATCTAATTAGATGGACAATCATGCATTAAAATATTTTTTTTTAAATATTGTATTCAATAGTTAAAGGGGAGACAACACGATTTTTAAAAACTCGATTGATCAGAGGGTCGTCGAGTTTGAACTTTTCAGTTCACGGTTAGCTGATTTCGAACAACCACGTATTTATAGACAGGAAACTAAATTTTAGTGATCATAGGCTGCTGGACGTAGTAACTTTATTTCGAACGAAGGACTAAAAAGTAAAAATAAATCTCACGTAAAGACTATAAATTTTCAGGGAAAAAAACTTTTATTATATTCACAAATCACAAAAAAAAATCACTAATAAAAAAATGCACTAAACGTAAATTATATTAATGACAATGGATCACAGCAATATGGAGGCTATAATGAAGGCCTCAATGAAAATAAAATATCAAGTAATGGGCCAAGTAACATGTATGAGGCAATATCCCAGCAAGATACCATGAGAGCAGTTCCAGAGAAAATAAAAATCTGGCGTGAAGAACAAAAGACAAGACTGGAGAAAAATGACTCTGAAGAAGAAAAGCGTAAAAAAGAATTGAAAGAGAAAGCAAAGAAAGAGCTTGATGACTGGTACAAACATCACACGGAACAGTTGGAGAAAACAAAAGAGAACAACAGGGCCGCTGAAACTGCATTTGTCGAGGATCGTGATGAAAAGGTCACCGGTCAAGCATGGGAGAAAATAACTCGCCTTTGTGAATTTAACCCAAAGAACTCAAAGAACACAAAAGATGTATCTAGGTTCAGGTCTATCTTGTTGCAACTGAAACAGACACCATTAGTGCGTTAGGTATTGTGTGCAATTAGAAGCTGATTGTACATTTGTCATTTTTATGTTAGTCATCAGCAAATGTTTTAATAATTATGTTATATAAATTTCCAACTTCTAAAATAAAATATTAGTTTTCAGTGAATAAGTAGAATTATTTCTACAGAATAAATGTTTTTATAGTGTATCCTCTTAGCATTTTTATTGTTAGATATTTTAGCCAATTTTTTTCCAAAGTATGTATTTTAGTACAAGATAAAATGTAGAAAACTATGCCAATAGATAGTTATATTGCAAAAAAATAGAAAGATGTCCACTGGTTTCTAAATTTTTATTTTGGCTGCAACCCTAATTAAAATAAATCATAAAGAGACGTTTAAAATGACCAATTTGTGTTTGTGAGTGTAATGAATAAAAGGAGGAAGTATTGTTTATTTATATAATTATTTTTTTTTACCTTTCATTATCAATCACATAATCTGGATATTAATCTATAAAAATCATTTCAACAGATCATTACAGAAATATCAAATTCATGTTCCTTGGCATTAGAAAATATAAATTGTTATGTTTGGTAAGAACTTAGAATTCTCAATTATTCATTCTTCAAAATTGTCTCTCTATAGATAGTTGCCGCTGTTTTATATCTAGTGTGTATAGATCAATGTTGTCTTTATCTCATGTTTAGCCTGTAAAGTAATTTTCTCTGAACTTAACCTTAGTATACCCATCACTTGTACCCTACCCTTATCCTTTGTTCCTAAAATGCAAATATTGTTTGGCTGTTCGTGGTTTGATCAGTTTTCTTGTGATATTCACCGTGTCGTACATTCAGTTCATTCCATTACAGAAGCCTTGGTTGTTTGTTTTCTCTGATCATACATTGATAAACACTAAAGTAAGGAATGTTTTTTTTTTGTTAACTTGCGATTGCTGTCAGTGTGATGAGAAACCATGTTTATTGTCAGCCCATTTAATACTCACCATAACAATTAGTTGTTCTTTTTATGTACGACTGAATTAATTTATAAATAAAGAGACATGAGATTTAAAAAAAAAAAAAAAAAATTTAGTTTGGTGCAACTTCACTAAAGCTATATTCTGGCATGATTAAAATAAAAGCCTGGGCGTTCACTTATGGAAAATATATTCCCTTTCATATGGAGTTTATTGATAGGTTTATATTCTATAACATTCTATGTTCAATTTTCATCACTAAGCTCACAACGATACAATACATTCTGCTGCTGGTTATAGTGATTTCTAGTCGCTGCCTTTGTCAAACAATCAGGCCATACCGCTAGGCAGTCCTTTAAGATTTGATAATTTTTGTTATAGATTCAATAGCTAAACATACAGTCCAAGAGATTTTAGACGAAGCAGCTTCAAGCCTCGGTGGTTCTTCAGCTCTGACAGCGCTTCTTGCAGGTAATCCTTGGTAAAATATTTTTAAAGTACCTGAATTGTTAGTTGACGTGTAAAATATTAAAATAAATACATACATTGTTAGTTGACGTGTAAAATTTAAAATAAATACATAAATTGTTAGTTGACGTGTAAAATATTAAAATAAATACAAAAATTGTTAGTTGACGTGTAAAATATTAAAATAAATACATAAAGTGTTAGTTGACGTGTAAAATATTAAAATAAATACATAAATTGTTAGTTGACGTGTAAAATTTAAAATAAATACATAAATTGTTAGTTGACGTGTAAAATATTAAAATAAATACAAAAATTGTTAGTTGACGTGTAAAATATTAAAATAAATACATAAAGTGTTAGTTGACGTGTAAAATATTAAAATAAATAACTGAAATGTTAGTTGATGTGTAAAATAATAAAATAAATAACTGAAATCTTAGTTGATGTGTAAGATATTTTTAAAATACCTGAATTGTTAGTTGACGTGTAAAATATTAGAAATAAATACGTAAATTGTTAGTTGACAAGTAAAATATTTTTAAAATCCCTGAATAGTTGGTTGATGTGTACAAATTGATACATTCAAACATCAATGAAAATCAAAGTGTAAAATGCAGTCATTTGAAAAAACGTCTAAAAACGTCTATTATAAGTATCTAAATATTATAATTTTAAAAAAGGCTTTAAACAAAGCGAAATAAATGAATGTATTTTACAATATTTTTTTTTGTACACTATGGATATTTATATGCTATATCATAATTAGAAGATAAAATGCTATCATTCGTGAATTATTGTAAAAAATAAATAACCAGTGTAATTTTAAATGAGTTTTGATTTTTTTATTACAATTGTGCATTTAGACAAACATTTTGTATCAAACAGATCCCAGCAAGATCGACATTGGTTTTACTCTGCTCTACAAAATTGCCAACAAGGCTAAGACTCTCGAAGGTAAACTTAACCATACATCTGGATCTAGAATTAGATATTTCTAAAAGCTTTAATCGTATGATCCTGGATAAAATTACATTTTTTAAATATATGTTCTTGCTTCTAGGTCTGATCATTCTGGAAATATATTAAAAAAAATAAAGGAGCGTTTAATCATTTATAATAAATAGATAAGCCTACATGGCTTTCATTGATATCAACCCAAATATTTTATCAGGAACTGCACTAAATGGCGCAATGTCGGCGTTATAGCTCCTTGCAAGGGCTATTGAAAAGGCTGTGGATAATTCAGGTGTGTTAAAATATTCTTTTAACTATATTGTGGAATTAAGCACATACCTTTTGTGTAGTTAATAAGAATGATAACTAATACAAGAGTTACAAATAGATATATACGAATAATTTATATATATATATATATATATATATATATATATATATATATATATATATATATATATATATATATATATACTGTTTATTCACTAAGTGAGTGTCGTGACATACCTGACAAAACAAGAAGATAACACCGCTCCCGATGGAACCAGAAGCCAAAAACAAAAGGTAAACATTACCACTTATTCCAGTTAAAACGTTATGCTTATAATCAGAAAGAACACATTTTCCTAGTTTTATCTAAATAAATTAACAAACATATTTACAATTTCTTATGGTTTTATACTTAAAACTAAGGGGAAATGTTTTTTTTTCTGCAGAGGAGGAATGAGCTTCAAAGGCGAGGTGATGTAGCCTAATTTTTACACAATTACCTGTCATAACTGAATGTTTTTAAAAACATTGTGATTATAAATAAATTAATAAATGAACTATATATATATATATATATATATATATATATATATATATATATATATATATATATATATATATATATATATATTTATGTATATATATTTAAAGGATGGAACGTTGGTCTTACCGGGAATTATCACAGCAATAAAGATTGGAATGTTGGTGGAAGCATATCATATTCCTGGAGACGATAATGAATCCGCCTAACATTCTCACAGCACGAACTCAAGACCTTATCGTGTTTGTATTGTGTGCCTTACGTGAATGAATAAAAAAATATTTACTGCATCGATTTTTTTATAGCTTGGACATACTAAAAATATTTAGTTGATAACGAAAGTAATGGACGATATGTATGGATAATATTGCGGTAGATACAGCAAAAACAGTTGGTAATAAACTAATGTTAAGTTTATAGGGCGTGAAATAATACATCGATTGTATTGAGAAACAAACACATAATGTTAAAAACATATTATCGAAAACATTGAGTTTTTTAAATTTATTCCCATTCATAAAAATAAGAAAAATAACCAGGGGAGGTGACTAATAATGTAACATTTTAATTTTACGGTTGCTTCCCTTTTCTTTTTTATGTGCAAATAACTTTTTAAAAGTTTGATCAATATGTAGGGTTGTTCGGTGGTATTTTTTTCTTAAATATAAACTATAATACGTTAATCAACTTTTAACTATTTTTTTAATAAAACGAACCCTACTAGGGTTTAGGCACTAAACAACGACAAAAATGTGTCATCTTGTTTTGTGTAGCTGGTAAAACGATTTAGTCCCTAAACTTTACAATATTTTAGTTGTACCGAGTTCTGTAACTGGTCATCTTTATCAGCTTTACTGCAAGCGTAAATTTTAAATATTTTAAATATTTTACCGCTATTAGTTGGCTTACACAAATATTGACAACAATAACAAAAATCGTTTCACAGTACATTTTTACCAACATAAATCAACACTAACATTACTGCACATCAGCAAGCAGCGATTATAATTAGTATTACAGAATCATTAATGTTTTATTTGCATGTCAATGTAAAATTTGTAACGCAATTAAAGCGAGTTAATCAAGCATTTAAAATAAATATATGTTGAGGAATGTACCACATGTAGTTTTTTAATGGACGAAAAAGATTCGCCAGTTTGTTTACATTGTGTAGACAAGGGGAGGGAACTGACAAACTTCCCCACTATAGTTTCCTATAGCGTTTGATCCACTGTGGGGATGGTCATACAACCACATCATATCCCGGCCTGTAGACACACGCTCCACTGGAGCCTGGACATGTACATGTACATGTTGTGTACGTGTACCTGGTGAACCTGCCATCCCTCTCACGTTTGTGTGTCCATTGTCCTACAGAGACCTGTTTAGGACAGCCATGAGGATGTGTACAACGGTCTACTTGTCCACATCAGCAAATCGCCAGTATGTGTACTCTATTTTCCTACGTCGTCCATTAATAAGCCATCAGCTCTTGTCCAGTTCATCAAACAAAAGTCACCCTCCCCCCCTTGAATAGTTAACTGCACACGTTAAAATAGTTACAAGCCTTAATTTTTGTCATAGATTGATTGCTAATGTGTGGGACTATTTATAGAAGATTAGAGCGATACCTTTTTCAACAGATTGTTAATACGTGCAGTGTTTCTTTCAAACGTGGGGTACGACGGAGGGGGGGGGTGTAATCGTCATAATGGTTAAAAGTCTACTGATATATTAAAATTTGATATTTTTCTTCTATCGCCATTGAATGGGTGGGCAATAGACTTTCCCCCTCCCCCACACCCCTCCCCTTTTCTTTTACAGCGTCCTAGGTCAGGGACCAATCATTCCAATGCTGTTGTAACAGACAAGGCGAGCAATGTGTACGCGCTGGAATCCATTATAA